CCTTTGTCCCTTTCGGACACAAAAGATTTCCTATCTAGGGATGTATTGTTTTGATTCTTTCTAATGGAAGGCTATTTCTTCGTGTTTTTTCTTCTTTACGAGTCCTAGGTGATTTTGAAGACCTGGAAATAAAATTTTAAACTCATAAGAACCTCTCTCTTTAAAAGTGTCGGGACATGACCATTTAAGTTCAGGTTCACAATCAAAGTGTAGTTTGATCTACATTTACGTTTCTCTTTTTAAAGTCACGTTGGAATATGACAGCATGCGAGATTTAGTTTTAGATTTTGTACAGAGTTTTGGCATAAATTTAAACCTCATTTAAATAAATGATAAAATTAATTACGATAAAAAATAATAATTATTATAATTATAATTTAAAAAATATCATAATTATGATTAAAAAATATTAATAAAAAATATTATTAAAAATAATATTTAAATTTAATTAATGATACGATAAATTTAATCTCACTTTAATTTACTACACTAAAAATATGATAAAATTTAAATGAATACTTGATTTGATTATAATCACATTTAACTCCTATTGATTACCGGCAATTTTAAGACCCTGGCGGGGTTTACTAGCCTGTTTAGGAGTGGTTGTGGTGATATCAATTGTAAAGATTTTCGTATTCGCTAAATGAATCACAAATCGAAAGGGCTTTGGAAACTGAAATCTTTGGTTCTTTGCCAACAGGAGTTAGATTAAAATAAAAATGAACTCCATCATTAAATATTTTTATTATGAATTAATTTGTAATTTATCCATATAACGTTAAATTTTAATTTTAATTACCAAGATTTAATTTTTTTAACAATTTCCAATAAAAAAAAATTTCTTGTACTTTGGGAACAACCAAAACACAAGTCAAAAGAGTAGCCAACTCAAACTAGCAAGACAAATGCCATTAATAGGACAAACAGAGATTCGGATACCCTTTCCTACCTTGTGGATGCTTACTTGCAGAACTGCCGAAGCCCAAAACGTTCTCTCTCTTCTTCACGTTGTAGCCTCGAATCTTTATAAATAAGTTTTATATAAATTATATTATATGATTGTGATTATTAAAATTAAAAATTTAATATTTTATAAATATATTTCAAGAATATTGTAACAAAAAATGTTTTATGATGGATGGAACTCAGTTTTATTTTAATTTAACAACTGTTAGCACTATATAACTACAGAAAAATTAATTGCCATTAATCAGATTCTTAAAAAATTATTGTTTATATATGAACTATACTTATTTGTTCCCCGAAACAGGCAATGGTTGATATAAAAGTGGATAATCCAACTAATAGGAGTAGATAATGATAAAACTAAGTAAAGCTTTTGAACGGTGCATGATTAACCACTCAAATTATGTTGTTTTGGACACATATACCATCAAAGTTAATTGATTATTCTCTCGGATTTGACTTGTTACATCAAAAGAATGTTCCGTGATTCACTCAATCATTGATAAAATTTTATTTATGTAGCCAACAAAATATTATCATTACAGGAAAATTTAGTGGTGTTGTGTGTGAAAACATCATTAAAATTTAGTGATTTTTTTTAAATTGTCGTTTTTTTTTATGCAGATATAATTAATATTATTAATAATATTTTTTTGACAAATAACAAATTTTTTAATCGTTAAACGTTAAAAAAATTGTGACTAAAAACTTATTTTTTTGTAGTGTATGTTGTTTTAGGCAAAATAAAAAAACCAACTCACATGCATATATGCAGCTAATTACATTTTTTTTTTTATTTTGTTAAATTTGAAACTTGGATAGAGAGTTTCGTTTTTATCAATCTTAGCAATTTTTTTCCCTTTTTCCAAGCAATTTATCATGTGTTCATGGGGATATGATTGATAATAGGAAAAAAGTTGATTTTCCAGGAATTAATTGGTCTTGGTTAGTATTCTTGCATTGAATTCTTAATTGGTTGGTCGAGAAATATTGCCGCCACTGACAATAAATTCTTTAATGAAACCGACCCTCAATAATTTTGTCAAAGGAATATGATCCTACAACTAACCTTCTGCACAACTTTTTTATCCAACTGCAATGTTCTTGGTTGGCCAAATAAAGAAAACTGCAACAACATAAATTTGAGAAATGAGAGAGAGAAAGAGAAAGATCTTTGGACTTTTTTTTGTCTTAAATTTTAAATTTACTTAATTGAAAAATCATTATATTCTTAAATCCCATCGAATCTATATCAGTCAGTAAACATGCTATCTGGTTAATGCTAAATTGATAGATCTTTGAAATAGTTAATTTGTTTAGATATGTCATTTTCATTTGGTTATTTTGTTTGACAAGAAAAGTATACCTCTATTTTTTTTCACTACAGGTTGCTTTGCAGGCAATTTGCTTTAATTTCTATCTTAACATAAATAAAGCAAGACTAATCAATTAAGTTCTCTCCCATAATGACTAATGTCTTTGATGATTATATATTAAGAAAAAAAATAGGAAATTCAGCGGATAATCATGATTTTAATTACTGTTTTCGTATTAGAATTTTCTAGCTTGGAAATTTTATTTTCTCGCCATAAAAAGATCTAAGACTATGATATGCTTGGGCCTACCACCCAAGGAAGATACAGGTATCACTAATGGCTGAGAAGAAATAACAAAGGCTAGTGCCCAACTTTATTAACATCTCTGCTTGTTCTACTCATTTTCCACTACTCGTGCTTCAAATATTAGGGATCCATCATCTGATAAGGTCAGCTCGTAGTTGAAAAATAATATTTGCTTAAAGGAGCTTCATGATTCCAAGTAGAATTTTATGATCAGAGTATCTTAAACAATTCAATAAAAAAGATTTTTAAGTTATAGATTTTGTTCCAGCAAAAGAAGAGTATCCAATGTGATCAATGACAATCACTTGTAGCTGTGAGGGGAAAAAAAACAAAGGGAAAAGAAAAGAAAACCCCACGGTATGGAAGGGAAACTAGCTCTTTCTCCTAGTTGACCTTAGCCTCAATTTTGTGCTTTGATTATCTTTATCTAGAAATGTAGAAGCAAGATCGAAGGGAAAGCATTTGTTAAGCTGCAAATAAAGCCCATCACATCTCTTAAAAAGAGGGCAAGTAAAATAACTCTTTTAATTGTCCACTTGGGCCCTTTGGTCTTTAACCGGGGAAAGGCCATTGCTTTTTCATGTCATAATAGCACTTTTGTTTTTTTAACAAAAAATTAAAAAATTTTTCAGATTAGGATAATATGTATTATATTTAATAATTTAAGATAAATAATTATAAGTTATATATTCAATTGATCGTAATAAATAATTATTGATCGAACTCGAACTTAAAATTTTTTTATTAAAACAAATAAATTTTAATCAATTAAATTAATACTTTATTTATAAAACACTCTTACTTTTTACATATAGGTGTCTGCGGCTGATTAGGAGGCGGAGCTGAAATCAGTTTAGGTGAAAATAAAAGATTAAAATATTAAAAAAAATTGAATCATTTTATGTTTTAAATAAATTTTTATATTTTTATTGTATTTAAATAAAATTTTATTTCAAATAAAAAATTTATTTATGTTAAGAGTTTATTTACATACAATTTTAAAAATTTTTGAATACAAATTAAAAATTAAAAATTTATTTAAATGTAATAAAATTATAAAAAAACTTTATTATTTTAGTAAAATAATAATGGTAATGATGAAATTGAAATTAACACGGTGAAATTGATTGTTGCTGTGATAAGATAAAACGTGTTTCACAAAACAACAATAACTTCGAAATAAAAAAAATTTAACTGTTAAGGATATTAAATATAGGTTAATATATTATATGATTTATATATCTTTTACATTTATAAGGCTAATCTAATGAAAATTAATAAAACTATGTTCATAGCAAATAATAATATTTATTTACTTATTTATATTTTATATTTTATATAATTAATTATGTATATTTATATATTACATAAATTGAATAATATAATACAAAAATATTATACATATAAAAAAGTAAAAAATGTGGATTTTGTTTAAGGATATATTTGATTCAACCATAGTTTGAAGGGTTGAAGTCTAAAAGATGTCAAAGGCAAACAAAACTGAGGAAAATTTGGAAAAAAAATTCCAGTTAATGGGCCACTGGACCTCAAGACCCTTGGTACCATTGGATACAACACTACGACAAAATTAAGATTTTTTGGTAAAATTTGTAAATTTTTAAAAAAATTGATTTAATAAAAATTTAAATAAGATATTTAAAATAATATATTGATAAAATTTAATATAAAGATTAACAATATATAAAAATTATGAAAAAGATCATTAATATTTTAAATTTAATATGTATTTATTCAATGATAAAAATTTTATTAAATTTTTTATAAAAAATATTTATTTAATAAATATTTCAATTTCTATCAAATTTTTAAAATTTTACATACTTAATCTATATAATAACAAAATTTTTAACTTTTGATTTTATTTTAATTTTTATTTAATAATTTTTTTTAAAAAAATTTCATGAACTTTACCATTTTTTCTCTCCACCACACTCGCAGTAAAATGAAAGTGACCCAATCGCACTGATCTGTGGCACGATTGGACAAAAAGACACTATTGCGCCACAGTGGCTGCACCGAACGAAGCCTAATTGGAAGAGGATTTATTTTTTTAAAACATATGAGAAATTGCTAATTTGTCTTACCATTGCAGTTGCAGCCTGGAAAGACTTGAACTCTAAACTGGGTCAGAGCAGATTAATTGGAAGTTTCTGCCTTCAACTTCATTGGAATATAGGGAATACTAACATTTTATGTGAGGCTGAACCAGAATTCTTTTTGACCATGCGAAGGTAAATGCTGTAAGGCATTCATATTCTCATTTTCAAAGTAATGTTGAAAGGATCAGACATATGTCGGAGTTGGGTTTTTAATGAATGATGATCCAATAATCAACTTATGCTAGCATTTTATTTGATCAACTTATCCAATAATCAACTCATCTTTTAAGGGTCAGTTAAAAAAAAAAAAAAAACTGAATGAACATTTTAATTGTGATGTGTGCAGTTGTTAATTCGACTAATTTGTGGAAGTTACCATTACATAAAGGAAGAGACAGGCTTGAAACTGCAGAAGTTTATGAACATTCAAAGGAGAAAACAGAGAAACAAAGTCCTAAACGAATTTCCAAGCTTAGGCAGAAACACATCTAGCTTTGGAATGGAATTCCCTGGATTAATTCTACTTCTGAATTTAAACTATCACATTGGGGGAGATTGAAATGTAATCCTCGAGTGTTTATGATCTCCTTCATAAGTCACAACTAGCATGCTTGGATCCTCCAAACTTCTTTCCACGTGCTTTCTAGCAGGGCATCCCCTCATGCTGCTGCATTTGTAGTAGCTCCTTTGAAAATAAATCATGGAAAACGTGCATGTCAGAATCAGTAATGTCTCTAATGGATGGACAATAAGAATGCAGAAACATCTTTATTTCTGCATTATCACTTGGATTTTAAAAGGGAATCAAGGTGATCAAATTATGTGATTTGATGCTGAATAAAAGCTTTCTGACATATTCTTCGTTAGATTTCTTTTTTCCAGCCTGTTTCATGTTCCATGCAAATACAGCCATCTTTTCTGGATGATGAATTTGTTGATTTGAATAGTTAGTTGTGCAAATGCTACCGCATATTTGGACATCAAACCACGGAATGTCCCTTATTTCCAAATTTGTTAACTGAATGTGTTGAATATTAACTAAACTGAATACATTACCAAATGCAGTGGCTAACTTCTCAGATCCAGAAGAGATGAAATTATAAAAATAATGACATGATATGCAAACATTGAAGACCGAGTTCTGATTTTTGAACCCTGATTCATTGGAATGACAGGACTACTGTCGTTTAATATTATGATCAACTGATGACTAGCTTGGCTTGAGAAGGAAAAAGTAATACTATATCATACCTCGGATATGGAGAGCCTTTTATGGGTTTCTGTCCATATTTCCTCCAAGAGTGATCATCTGGAGGTATATCAGATAGTTTGTTGCTTACAGCTGGAACTTGAATTGTTTTCTTTATTCTCAGTTTCCTGCAGGGACAGAAAAGAGGACATGAGCAAATGAGAAATAAAGGAACTGAACAAATCCATCTTTAACCACAAGGAAATATTAAATCAGTAGATACAACTTATAAAGAAGCTATCAGATTATTAATGTTAAACATTAAACTCATTCAAGCTCTCATAGATATGTAGATATCAGACTTTTGACAATTTATTATGTCACATGAGAAATTGAAATGAGGATTTACCTTCTTTTTGAACAGTGACAACCACCAGTTGAGGCTGCACATTTTATACTAGCTTCTTCACTCTCTACCCCAACCTTTCTCTTGGAAGGAAGCATACAACGTTCATCCTGAGAAACCAGAATTTCTGATGATGACGGTGGAAGTATCTTCTTGTCGATGTTACTTAGTCCATCCAAACTAAACATATGCATTCTTGGCAGTGTTGAAGAACGATGCAACCCCATGATTAAATTTGGCAAAACCACCACATTTCTGGGGATCAAACCAGTATATGATTGATTACTACGTGGAGAAACTAATTGTCTGAGAATATGTGGTTGATGTGATTTGGAACCAGAACTTTGAGATGCAAAATTGGGGCTATCCATCAATTCAATTGGATTTACGTTACGGGATTTTGGCAGCGGCCCCTTTCTGATCCTCTTACAGTCTGATTGCATTGATCCATCAAGGAGGGTAAGCAATTTTCTGAATCCATTTACTGCATCATGAGCCATAAGGCTTACTTCTTGAATGCTTCTCTTTTGACTTTGATCAGAAATGCAACTAAACAGGTGATTGGCGCGTCTGAAACTGCTTTGAGCAACTTCATGAACACTGAAATCCCATCTTCGGGTCATTGAAACACAAACACCTGATGCTTCTGTCATGATTCCACAATTTACTATTATATGCACTAATAACAAAGAAATGATATCTAAATCTAGCAGATAAAACCTGAAATGTTGAAAAAGCAAAGAGACTTTACACCAAGAAACAGACGACTTTTAATTTAATGATCAACTTCTCCCTGTATAACTTATTAAATAAAACTAACATAGGCTAGCGAGATTTAGACTAAGTTTTTGATAAAACCTATGTAACACAAACCACCAATAGATAAATCCTGTATTAGTGTTGTACTAGTTGAATCTGCCAATTATAGAAAAGAAAACTAACTTCATCAAGATTGCTTGATTTTTTGAATTACACAACCGATCACATCTAACTCTCTGCCCTCAGAGTCAACGGTGGCTTGGGTTACACAATACTCCAACCAATGTACACCAAAACCATAGTAGTCTCAAAATTAGCAACAAATAATAAAGACTGACATAGAGAGATGAAGGTTAAAGCAGATAAGAAAATTGGAAAGTAGAATCAACAGTGACTGTAATTGCATGCTCAGGACCTAAGGTTGCCCCTTGCCTGCTTTGTTGTAATAAATTTGCTGCTTCATCAGGACTCTACCGTATAGAAAGAAAGAAATGGTTCAGTGGAGAACCTTATGGTGCACTGCCTGCCTATTCACAAACAGCAACGAATTATGAATCTTATTTTTGTAGCATTACTCCATTTAATTACCCTATTCAGGCACTTGTTATGATTTTGCTCAAATTATGATATAAACAAAAATGTTTAGAATTTTATAGATTTAAATTCAGATTGGAATAATATTAAAGGAAACTAATGCAGGAAAGGAAACAAAAAGATAATGTAATCCCTTACCTTATCCATATTTATTATTGAAATAGCATTATATTTTTGGGTTGTGGGGTGTGCAAAATTACAGAAGATGACATACAAAGATTCAAAGATTTAGGTAAAGAATTTTGGCTGCATGTGGCATTATTCCACTTGCCCATGTATCTAATCCACTAAACAAAGCCAACCAACCAACATAATACGCAGTCTCAATCACTCAAGGGACTTGGACCATTGGTATTTATCCTTTATGGGGCCATGATTGAAGCATGCTTGTTCTTAAAGGTTGTTCTTTAGTGGCTTCGCTTCCACTCTTTTCATTATTTTATTGTTTAATTTTCTTGCCGAGGAAATCATATGATAGATCAATCCTCTCATAAATATACTATCTATGAAGAAAGATGGCCACAGGTTTCATTTCTTGGACCATTCCATCACATATTCTCAAGATTATGCATGGAAGCCACTACGAAAAAGGACTCTTCATCAGATTCCATTAGTGCTGATCATCTAGATGGATATCGATGATTGAAAGAGCTGAAGAGCCATATAAAATATCTGCCCCCAACGATACATCCAAACACTACCTTCAAAGATGGAATGAAATGATTTATAGCATTAAATTCTCTTTCTTTTAAAAAAGCCAACTTTAAATAATAAAATTGATATATTCAAATTGCTAACAAATTGAAGGCTTCCATTGCAAAAGAAGCTACTTTTCTACATCTAAATCATATAATCCCGCTTTGCCGCACTGACATCCTAGATTCCCAGAGGCGAGGCTACTTCTTTCTAAAACTTGACAAGTTCGTTAAAGACTTGGTTGTCAGTTAATGGCAAGACACACTGAGGATTGTAAGAGGGCAGTCATGTTTTATTCGCGGTCGTATGTACAATTGGCACTTCAGACTGAATTTCATAATCCATCGGATTGAAATTTGTAGCATTAACACTCCGACAACATCCTATGAAAATTCAGACCAGGATTCCGGGACTCCTGCCGAAGATAGTAAAATCGACGGATGTGTTAATGCTTGGAGTTTCATTTTAATCAAAGCGTTTGCCTTACTAGTAAAACTTCTTTATGGACAATCCTCCATATAGGTCCTGCAGCTGTACGATGAAAAATGAAAAACACAGGTACCTTTCAAAAAAATTGCCATAGTCAACACAAGCAGTCTAGTTATTTCTTCCTTGAATCATATTTCAGAACATAGCTAAATAAATCTAAAGAAAAGGGTGGAAAATAGAAAGATCAAATCATATATCAGAACATAGTTAATATCCCTAGATCAATGAATGAGCTTAAAGATTATTTGCAGTCAAAAGATAATGGATTACGCAATACATTTATGTTAAAATCTGATGAAGTTTCCAACTTCAACTTGAATATTATCTAAAAGTTTTTCTTCCAACATAATTAAGTCTTGACCGTCTGCTTCTCACTGGTGTGCACCAACTCTCTCCATTAGCCATCTTAGCTCTCATTTTCTTGTACTCTCTTGATCTTAAAACTCCCTCAAGAATGTTTATATCTTCACGAATTTCATGCCTAGAAAGAGATGCAAGACCTGGAAGTATGTCTCTCTGAAAATCCTTCAGTCTCCTTCCTCTTCTCAATTTGATACTAAAATCTTTGCTCTCTGCATCACATACTTCAAATGGCTTTGATGATACAGAATAGTCATCAGCACAGATTTCTGTCAGTTTCAGAGTCATTAACTCAAAAGAATCAGAGGAACGCTGCGGCTGCTCCTTGTCCTCATTCTCTAACTCATTGGACCCTGTCTGGGTTGAAGATTCCCGATAGCAAGCTGAGTTCTCCAAGGAGACACGGATAAGTGATTCAGCTGCTATTTGAATCAAGTCATCCACTTCAGCTGATTTTTCCCTGTTATTGTAACATTCATGTTTTATTTCATTACTGTCAGAAGATCTTTGATCCTGCTCACCTGATAAAGTTTCTGCAACTTGAGATCTCCCATGGGTTCCTGAAAACTGATCAGAAGCAGGAAGACTTGAATTATAGGGTTCAATTCCGGATTGCATAGTCCTTACAGGGCTAGAATCATTATCTGAAATGCAGCTAGACTTCCCTGAAGCAGGAGACTCATCAGGATGTTCATCTTCAATTGTAATTTGGATTTTATCAGAACATAACACAGTGTCCCCTTCTTCAGGCTTCTCACAACCCAATTGTGTATCAACTACACATGGAGGGTTTGGACCAAGAGCAGGAACATTTTGTAGTTTCAACATCAGCTCATCCCTTCCATTCTTGGTGTTTCCATTGTGGATACCAATGTCCTTGGGAAGGTTTATTTGGGGCCTGGATACAGATGCAGGACCAATAAGGCTTGTTTCACATTCATTCCTTCCACTGAGTTTGGAATTTTGGACTTTAGTTTCTGTTCTCCCGTCTTTGTTGTTGGAATTCAGCAAAGAAAGTTTTACACAATCATCTTGTTGAAGCATCTCAGAAGTGTCATTGGACAACTCCTTAATTTCTTCTCTCCAAAATGTGGTTGGACACAAGGTTTCCTGACTCCTGCTAATCAGTCCACTAAAACCACCTGATGAGCTAGTAGTCAAAGGATGGGCCCCTATGGCATCATTTGAGTGACAAGACGAATCATCAAGCCGAACTTCATTAAGGTCCAAATATCCCACTCCATATGAAATGAACTGTTGCTTTCTAGTCAAAAAGTTTTTGCAAGGCATATTTTCGGGGTGTTTTAATCCTGTAGATGGAACAAATAAAGAAAAGCTAAATTAAGATATTTAAAACATATGCTTGACCTGAACAAGAACAGAGGACAATATTGTTCCTATGAAAATGCTGCTTCTAACGTGAAGAAATCACCAGTACCTTGATCAGAATAGCTCCATTCTTGGCAGCATTTGCTATCCCCAACTAAGGAGCTATTCTCCGCAATCTCATGAGATAGATCTTTCTCCATGCTTCTTGAAGTGATAGGATCAGATGTTATAGTAACTTGTGAATCATGCCTTCCTCCCGAATATGTACCTTTAGCAGCAAAATCGATAGGTGGATGTTTTGCACCCTCATCTGAGGTCCTCTCAGCAGATTCTTCCAAATCAATGACAATTCCAGAGCAGGTATTAACCTTCTTGTCATACCAATTTCTCTGTTTATCTTCCTTTTTCCCCTTGACCATTCCAAGGCTTAGAGAAAGCCTCAACTCCAGTGGATCTGAGAAACCACCATGGAGAGAAATTATATCCATGGTTTCTTTTAAGTGATCACCAACCTTTCCTTTATTTGGAGGATTATTATCACCAAGACTAATATACTGATCAGGTAGCAGTTGAAGATTGAAAGGCCTTTGCTGAAACTTTTGGCAATTGCCCCTCCACCCTTCTAACAACTCCTGACCTGAAGATACTCTTGAGCCCAACTGAACAACATTTCAAAGAAAAGGTATTAGATCAGCTAACCCTTCCTGTACAACGAACACAAACAATTCCCAAAAGATGAAAGTCGTGATAATGCATGCAAAAGCAAAGAACTTTCAACTAGATTTCTCTTATAATAATAATACTTTTTACCAGATCTTCCTGATTACATCACGTTATATTTCTAACCTTCAAAGGCTTCAGATTTATGGCATTTCATTTCATAACACCACTCGAGAAAGAGGGAAACCTATAACTAATGAATCAAAAACCACTCAAGTATCATTGGAGATCAACTTTCTAACATCTCAAAAGAGAGTAGCTTCAATTACCCTGGAAATTGAATTTGTGGGCAGTATAGTTTCTTGGGGATATGATTGTGCATTTGCTTTCCATGATTTGTTCTTTTCAAGCTCCATAGGTGCAAGACCTTTCATTAGAGTCTTTTGAACACTGTATAAATGATGGAGCTCATGGACCTGAAACAACAGACAGCAAGAATATAAGCATTTAGAGTGGGGGGGGGGGGGGGGGGCGGAAGAGTCATGATCCTTCCATGCAACTGATTTGACATGCATGGCCTGATGGACCAACCTTCCCTTAAAAGCAATATATTGATGTATAACTCTAAATCATGTAAATTCATCTAGTTTGAGAGCAATAAAATTGACAAGAACCCAAATTTCAAGCCAAAACTTTCCACACCAAGATGGCCAAAGGCTTGACCCATCAAAGGGAAAGGGAAATTATTCATATGCATCAGATCCTGAGCAGCACTTATGCCAATTCTGAACAGAAAAATGTAGCAAACTAACATGTAATGAGCCAAAAAAAGATATCCTTGTACCTGCTTTCTAAATATGATCTCCTGTTCGAGCATTGTCTGCTTGAAAATATCTTTAAGTGAATCAGTGTATTGTTGCATTGAATTCAAATCAAAATCTCCTAGCATCAACATTTTTTCCTCATAAGAATCAAACATATATATCAATTGATATCAGATCTTGCATCCTCAAATAACTGATTCTTAATGATGTTTCAGATGGTCCTTCGCTCTCCAACTCTGCACATTTTCCACAAAGAAATGATAGTTATAAGATAGTGCAGTACCACTAACAATCAATAAGGCTGCCGATCTGAGCAACTTTTAATAGCCAATAAGGCAGCCAATCTCGGAAAGATATTAGTCTTTCCGCGTGAGGAATGTGTCTATAAAATTCCTGTTTTAACAACTATCAGATAAACTTTGAAAAAGTTCCATCAATTTCATTATAAAAACATAACATTTAACTAGGACAAGTCCTTACTGAGAAATATTGTCATTTAAAACAACAACAAATTTAAACTGAAACACCAAACTGATCGTAGTCCTTACAAGATTTTTGCTGTAATTCTATCTACTGACATACTTTGCTAAAGAACAGTTTAATGTTATAAATATTTCCAACCACATAAATTTGTTGAGTCAATATGAGTTGTAATTGGAAAATTCAGGATTATTACTCAAAAAGCCAAGCCAAAGTAGCCAATAGTACATAGGCCCTAGGTGGAGTATATGATGAAAAGACTTGGATCATTCAGCTGAATGACGAAGAGACTCTGAAGACATGGTGAAAAGATCTATGTATACAAGACTAAATGACTAACTTTAGCACCACATATCAAGATTACATTTATTAGCTGTTTTCCATTGAACAGTGCTGTTTTTAGAATATATTATCTCATATATCCTAGAATGGCATCCTCCAGAATTGAAGATTCAATTCGCATTTAACAACATTGAAATACTGCATTCTAAAAGATAACAAAAAGGCTCAACTAAGCTTCATCCATACGATACTTTTCCCTAGAAAAAAATAAAGGAAAACCGTCCAACAATAACCTTTTAGTTGGGGAGAAAATAGCCGGCTGAAACACACAGATTGCTCCATGAGAATGCAGAAAAGCTACAGACCTAGGTGATTGAAGTCACTTCTTACAATCACATGCAACACTGACTAATCAAACATGGACGAGTCAGTTGAATATAAAACAAAGCTACTAAGGGAGTTCAATGTGGGATTATATAAGAAGCCATTCAGCTGAGCTCTTACGTAGTTCAAAGGATGTGCAGGGTCTATGGATATTTACCAAGAATTAATGTCTCTTTTTTCCTTCATTTAGAAATAACTATTTTTTCCTCTTCTGGAGCATGATTGAAAAATGCAGATGAATCTTGCAAAAATTAATGGGAAAATTATAGCATATGTCAGAAGCAATGAAAACCACATTCTGTTTGGATTTTATATGCATTAAACAAGGAAAAAAAGCAATTGATTATGAGTACATAGGAAAAGAAACAACCCAGAGAAACAGAACAGAATATCAACATTTGCTAAAACAAATCCCACCTCATAAAAAGCAAGCCATGAAGCATTAAACAAAAAGGCAGAAAAACTCAGAAATGAACACATAAACAAGTAAAGAAACAAAGCTTCAAATTTATCCATTGAAACCCAGAGATGTAAAGGAAGAAAGAACTTACCAGGAGACAAACCCAAAAAAGCATTCCACCATTATAGAAGAAAAAACCTCAACTTTCGACTTGTTTCTCCCTCAGAGACAGAAAAAAACCCAACTGCCTTAACCAGATCACAATGAAGATATTAAAAAAAAACAAAACAAAAACAATTCCCAAGAATCCTAACTACTAAAAACTTAATGCAGATAGATGTAAGAGAAAAGAGATGAAAATGAATCAGATCATCACTTTGGGTTTGGGACAAAAAAACAAACTGAAAGAAATAGAAAGGAAATGTAATAATGTAATGAAACTAAGAGGTGAGAAGATAATTCTCTTTTCTTTCTCTTTCTGAAGAGCGAGAGTTACTCTTTAGTGGTTTGTCTGGCACATCATTGTTTCTTTTTCAGGTATTTATATTCACTTTCTGTCTCTTTCTCTCTCACACACATAATCCTTGGGATTCCTTTAGCTTTTTATTTTTATTTTATATTTTTTAGATTTCTGGGTTTTCTAGGAGGACCAGTTAGAAATAGTGGGACAGATTCAACTGCAAAAAGCAAAGACGAGGCCATTTATTAAGCTATGTTCTTCTACTGCTTATTTTTACCTTTTTGTCCCTCCCTTTAATATCGCCTTTTTCCCATTTTTCTACCACCCATTGGTCCACAGCCTATTCTTCCAAGCTACCCATTTCATTTATCTTTTCTCTGTTGAAATAAACAATTTATTATTATTATTATTCTACTTTCAAATAACTAAATCATTTTCTTAAAATCCACATTCATTCAGTTCATTTTGCTTATAATGTTTCTTAAGTCAAATGTTTTACTACATAGCCTTTGCCTAAAACCCTGCCTTAGGTTTAAATATGATATATGATGCTAATTGTTCATAAGTTATAGCTTATTTTTTGTTAGGCAGTTGGCATTGCAAATTTATAGATATATGTTTGACAATACCCTTTATTTTTAAAATAAATAATCACTTAATTTTGTTGAGTTAGAGGCAATATTAAGTTTTTTCTTTTATAGTTCAATCACCCAATTAAACATATAGTTTTTTTTTTAATAATTAACATATAGTTAAATATAATTGTATTTTGAATTCACAATATAATGTAATAAATTTGAGTGAACATATTATGTTGTTCATCTAACATATTTTAAATTTAACGTAAATTTTGGACTAACATAAATATTACGAAATTGAACTCAAAACTTTAAATTTTAAAAAATTCTTCCAATCCTCTTATCGTTTATTAAAGATCTTATTGATAGTGATATTGAAAATTTGATTGTTTACTATGGATTACTTCTAAATTTATTATCAATATATAGGGGTGCTATATAGTAAGAATAATAATAACAAAAAAAAAAGATATAATATGAGTAATTGGAAAGTTATTTATATATTTTCACTATCGAACTGATCATAATTTATTCACGTGGTGATTCAACAGTATATAGTTCATTAGTAGATTTTTTTTTTTTACCAATGAAACTGTTGTTTTAGATATAAATTATATGATTGGTATTTGAAAAGTGAGAGGTTGAAAGCGGAGAGTTGATTACAGATAATTAGTGGGACCAATGTGTCTCTCCATCCATGTTGATGATCAAACAAGAGTGTTCTCACAGGTTGTCTTCAGTTATCGGGATTTGTGTCCTGTCTCATTCTGGTTGATTAACATTAATGTCTACTATTTTCTGCCCTCTTCTTTCCCAGCTTTATAGCATGCAAAGCCTGGACAAGTTCATTTCTGAAATTACCAAATCTTGGAATCATTTTCTTTTTATTGGATGGCTGTGAAAATTAAAAACAAACACTTTCTTTGGGCAACAAAACTATATTCTATAAACTTACATCCCTTCTTGCAAATTCTTTCAAATAGATTTCTAGTAAATTTTTTGAATTAACAAAGAAAATCAACTCAAATCCTTAATATTTAATTTAATTTAATTATTATTTTAAATTATGAAGTTATTATTAAAAATTTTTTATTGATTTACTTGAAATTTGATCATTATTAAAAATGTAAAACTAATATAGGCAAAATTAGTGCCCTATTATCAAAACAAATGGTTTAAATTAGAGTGAAAATTTGATGTGAATAAGAATAAAACAGGGGAATTGTACCTAACCATGTCAACCATGATAACAATACGTGCAGAAGAAGAAAAAAAAAAGACAGTAAGGATAATAATTTTGTGTCCTACTGAATTTGGTTAACCAATGAGTATGAATTTTACTGTATTTTTAATTAGATGTAATTAAATTTAAATATTTATTTAATATAATTTTTTTTCAATCATTATTATAATAATAATTTTTTTAATTTCATTAAAATTAATTTTACTATTCATCTAAAAGATTTTAAATTATAAAAAAATCTGTTTTCACAAATTAAATAATAATAATAAAAGAGCAATATTGAACTTGATGAGCGGGCCTGGTCCCCATCATGAAGTGAATTTATTACATGTGTACAATTAGATATGTGGTACAAATTAATAAATAAAAAATTTAAATTAAAAAATTTAACAACAAAAAAAATAAAACATAATTCTATTTGAACGAGGGCTTTTTGGGAAACAAGGCAAATACGGACGGGATGCAAAAACTGAAATCAACGATCAAATACAGCTCACATACATCCATGCAACAAGTTGGACAAAAAAAAAAAATGCCCATTCTTTTATGAATGATTCTCCAGATCATAAACCAAGCGCACAAACAGCGCGTGGATTTAAACATATAAGTAACATGGAAACTTGCGTCGACTAACTTCTCCATATTTTAAGTAAATCTTAATTTCAATGAATGATTTTTATATTATATTAAAATTTTTGATGTGATATTTAAATTTTAAATTTTATTTTTAAATTATAAAATTATTAATTAATATAATATTTTAAAAATTATTTATTTATTATGTATTATTATTTAAAATTAATTATGTTAATATTATATTAATTAATAATTTTATAATTTATATATTAAATTAAATTTTTTAAAACTTAAATATTAAATTAAATATTTAATTTAAACTATTTAGAGGTAACTAAATTTGAAATTTAGTTTAATTGAGTTCATATATTTTTTTAAATATAACATTTAATAAATTTAAATTCAAATCATATTATCTATAATCTTTTTTATATTTTCAAATTACAGTGTTATTTGTACAAAAAATAATCGTTCAATTTGTATCAATTTGATTATTTTGGTTTATTCATAAGATTTTAAAATTTTAAAATTGATCTAAATTTGAATTCATTTTCTTTTGAAATTGAAGCATTTGAATTTTTAAAAAAACTTCGAATTTAAATTTTTATTTTTTAAAAATTGAATTGATTTAAATTAAAATTTATTAATTAAAAATTACATTAAAATAATAAAAATTTTATTTTATTTTATTAAAATATTTAAAATATTTTTCACTTTATCAACCCAAAATTGAACGAACCCAAAATAAAAATTTTAATATTCAAATCAAAATCGAATTAAATAAGACAAAATTGATACAAACCAAATTAAATATTATAATTTTGAATTAACTTTTAATTTTTTTTATCTTTTTCTCAAACTGAATTCCAAAGGAACTCTCTTTGTTGGTACAAATAGCTTGGAGAAATATTGTTACTTATTTGTACTAAATAATAAAACAAGATTAATCAAGGTTACCAAACTTTAGGTTGAAAAAATCAGCCAACCTTTTTAATCAAATGCGGAAAGTGCCGAAAGTTAAGACTAATGAAAGGTACATTGTAATTTCTAATTCATCTAACTAGCAACTAGTAGTAGCATGAAAATGATTTTTTTGGTATGACTTGTTGAAATAATCTACTTTGATGTAGAAATAACAGTTTTATAATAAAATGCTAGTGATATTTAGTACATTCTGACATCATTAATTTATTAGGATTGAAAATAGTGAATTATAATTAAATTCTAAAACCTTGTCTAATTGAGGTAAGGGTGACTTGAAAGCTAAGGAGACAAATCAAAATTGTCATCCGAGGATCAAAGAAAGAAGCTTAATGGTACACGATAAGTGCATTTATTCTTTATTTAAAAAAAATTTTAAATTCTTAAAATTTTTAGACCAAATGCAGATACAATAACAACAAATTAAAATTTTATATCCTATAATTATAGGATTGATTGTATGAAAGTAAAAAAAATAAAAATTATGTTAAATCGTTATTTTAAATTTATTTACGTCACTCATTTTTATAAAAAATAAAATTTTTCTATATTTTCTTAATTTTAATATCATTTTTATTATTTATATTCACATCTTTCATAATTTATTTTTAAAAATTTTGATTTCTTCTAAATGTAAAAAGCTCATTTCTCATAAAATATAGATACAATTTCTCATAAAAATGTGATATAAAGTGCCATATTTATTTTTCCATGGGCACAATTTTAAATATTCGATTTGTTTTTATAATATAAAAAATTTATATAACTTTGCCTTTAATGGCCCATAATCTTACTTTAAAAGCCTAATCTTGGTTTTGTACTTCAGGCTTCAGTCAGCTGAAGGTGCAAAGAGAAAGGCGGCCTTCATTTGAGGCCTTTAAGGCTGTTGCTTATACGACTAAACATTCATTATGGATATAAAATAGTAAAAAATTTAATATTGAATCAAAAATTTTATATGCTTTTCATTATTCTTAAAAGATTAAAGAATTTTTTTAGAATAGAAAATTAATTAATTAATTAACAGTTCCCATTTGATGATTAAGCCAAATTTCAAGCCAAGCATGGAAAAAAACCCCTAATTAATAAAATGGGTCAAATTTTAGCAGCCAAAATGGAAAATTATTACGTAATTATTACGTTTCTAAAGTACAATCCATTTGTTCTCCACCCATATGACCTATCTGAAACATTTTGTTTTTGCACTTTTACACGTGGCGTTCGATCGAAACCCTATAAAAACAAATGTCAAAAATTAGCCGCCGTAAAATCATCACTCTGAAAATCTGCTGTAACTTTAGCATCAAATTTGATAAACAAAAATGAAATTGGTAAAAGATGTTAAACGTCGTAATCGCAAAAAATAGTTTTAGAAACTCATCGGCAAAATGCAAAAGAATTGTAGAAGAAATGGTTATAAATTCTTTCCCTCGGTTGATTACTGATTAGTGCAAAAATGAGCACCTTAATTATCAACCTGGCAATGCCGCCTCCTTCCCAATCAGTTAAATCTCGTCACGTGGCGGTTGTTGGAGCCGGAGCTGCGGGCCTCGTGGCGGCGAAGGAGCTCCACCGAGAGGGTCATTCAGTTGTCGTATTCGAAAGCGGGAACGAAGTCGGGGGCACGTGGGTCTATACCCCTCGGGTGGAATCCGACCCCTTAGGACTCGACCCGAAACGACCCATCGTTCACTCTAGCCTCTATAATTCTCTTCGGACTAATCTACCGAGGGAGGTTATGGGGTACAGGGACTTTCCCTTCGTGACCCGACCTGGGAATAATAGGGACCCGAGGAGGTTCCCGGGTCACCGGGAAGTGTTGATGTATTTGAAGGATTTCGCGAGAGAGTTTGGGGTCGAGAAGATGGTGAGATTCGGAAGGGAAGTGGTGAAAGTCGGAACTTTGGAGAACGAGAAATGGAAAGTCAGGTCCAAAAGGACGACTTCTTTTAATAATGAAAATAACGATAATTACAACGATGATATTGCTATTATTAATAAAAGTGAAGTTGAATTTGATGATGAGATTTACGATGCTGTCGTTGTCTGTAATGGCCATTTCACAGAGCCCCGTATTGCCGAAATTCCAGGTAATGTTTCGTGCTTGTTAATGTTATTTTCTTTTTTTTTTTTTTTTGATTAAAACTTAAAGTTCTTTAGGAAAGAATATACCTGTAACCTTTTTCCACTTTTTTTTTTTTTTTGGGAAGGGTGATTGGTAATTGTGAATTGAAGCTTTAGTCGTGATTTAACTGTTTTGGTTAATTCAGATTGCTTTCTAAAGAACATTCAGGTTTGTTAAATGGGGTTGGTATTATCCGCTTTAGATGTCTTTTTAACCTTTTAAATTCAAGATCAAGCTTCCTCTTCTTTCTTCTTCTTTTTTTCTCCCTTTTTAAAAGAATTTGTCTATGGCATTGATGGAGAATTGGATAGTGAATGGATGGTTTTACGTTGGGAGGAAGATGCAAGTCATTGGAATCAATGATGCTTTACTTATTAAAATCATCAATTTCCCTGTAAATTTATGAAATTTAGATTCATTGGATGGGTAGTTGATTAAAGAAGTTGAATGCAGTTAGAAGATCATTATTTTGGTTTCTGTTGCCATTCATTTCCGGATGTAAATTATTAGGTTGTTGAAATATTATTCTGAAATCCTTATATACATATTCATTGACTGAAAAGAAAAAGGATTCCCCTGCTTCACATTTCTGGAAAAGAAGATGTTTATATGCTTCCTTGTTTTCTTCCAGGCATCAATTTATGGCCAGGAAAGCAAATGCATAGCCACAATTACCGTCTTCCTGAGCCCTTTAGGGATCAAGTATGTATCAGGTTTTAACTTCCTCTGTATCTTAAAATGTTACAATACTGCATCTCAGATAATATTTCTTGGATATCACTGTGTTTTTAGACATAAAACTTTGCTATTAGTTGCTGAGTTACATGCATGTTAGTGTTAACTCCTACAAGGTCTTAAAACATTTAGCAGAACTTTTATCAGTTGTACGTTTCAATTCCTGGTGTTTGATACTCTTACATTTGTGTGAACTAATGATCACTCTGTATCTATTTGGGAAGTGACCCTATCTCTACTGTGGTATTGGCGATTGCTTCAGACTGTTTCTCTTGATAAACCCCTCCAATGTTTGCCTTTGACAGGTAGTAATTGTAATAGGGAGTTCTTCTAGCGCTGTTGACATATGTAGGGACATAGCTGCAGTTGCCAAAGAAGTACATGTTGCATCTAGATCGGTTGCAGATGAAACATATACAAAGCAGCCTGGATATGATAATTTGTGGCTTCATTCCATGGTAAAGGCACTCACCCCTCATAGAATGGCTTGGCCATCATGAGATTATGGAGAGGATACATTTGATGGGAGGTAGTTTGATTTTGATCTGAAATGTTAATATTTGGCAATGATGCAGATAGATAGTGCCTGTGAAGATGGCACAGTGTTTTTTCGAAATGGAAAAGTGGTGTTTGCTGATGTCATTATGCACTGCACTGGGTATTCTTCGTTTGATTTTGCCTTTTCATTTGATTTAGGAGTGACATCTTTTGTACTCAGCAAATACCGCAATCGTTTAAATGGCATTTTAATTTCCTGTTGGTCCTTTTGAAAGGTACAAGTATCACTACCCTTTCCTTGAAACAAATGGCATTGTGAGCGTGGATGATAATCGTCTCGGGCCACTGTACAAGCATGTGTTTCCCCCAGCCTTGGCTCCAAGCCTTTCATTTGTTGGGATACCATGGAAGGTGTGTTCCTATTTTTTTAATTATCTACTTACATTGTACTTCATAGAAGAGATAGTTATTTTCTTAAAGTCATTACCAGGTTGTTCCATTCCCCTTGTTTGAGTTTCAAAGCAAATGGATTGCCGGTGTTTTGTCTGGTCGGATTAAACTTCCATCGCAGAAGGAGATGATGGAAGATATCAAGGCTTTCTACTCAACACTTGAAGCTTCCGGTATACCAAAGCGGTATTCTCATTGCGTGGGTGAATATCAGGTAACAATTTTCCTGTTAGGTAACTTATTCTGTCCTGGAAATCCCTTGTGATTTTTCTGGTCTTAAAATAGTTGTAGGTTTCGTTCCAGTTTACCACATGAAGTTCATCATCCATATTATTAACCTGATTAACATTTTTTGTACATTTTGCAGTTTGAGTATAATAATTGGCTTGCCGCACAGTGTGGGTGCCAAGGAATTGAAAAATGGAGAAAGCCAATGTACTCTGCGGTTTCTGAGAACAAGCGTCTTCGACCAGAGACATATCGTGATGAATGGAAAGATCAGCACCTGGTTTTGGAAGCCCACGAGGACTTCATTAACTACACCTCAATATCAAACTGTTAAGAGACAATAAATGTAAAAACAAGGCTAAATGCTCAATTCAATCTAACATCTGATCTGATTCTCAATAAAAAACACAAATTTTAATTGGAAGTAACACTCAAACGTGTAAGTCAAACTAAGATTATTTAAATAATTTGTTTTAAAGCAAAACTCCCTTTCTCTCTATCTTCACTTTTGCTTGAAATGTTCTTTCAATTTTTTATGGGTATTTTCTTTCTCTTTCAGTTACCTTCTTTCAACTTTTTGTGAGTATTTTCTTTTGTCTCTTGCAATCATCGAAACTGCATATAGATTTGAAGAATTGAGTAGGAAAAACATTTCGAGTTATTCAGCTAGAAATCATACATAACAAATTTATCATCTTTTGTCTTGGTTCTGTCTTTTATCTCAAACGAGTATGATTTTGACTTAGCAAATTGCCCTGCCATCCTACCAGTTTTGTCTTAATCGATTCGGTTGAACAAACTGACAAGCAATTTGGGTGACAAAAGTGAGGACAATTTCCATCTGCAAGAGAACTCTGAAAATGCTTCATTGAATTATTTGAAACTTTCTATGGAATCATCTCCCTATAGTAGAAACACTTCCCTAATGACAGCATTCTCTAGCTTATCTTCCAACTTTCTTGCCTCCTGGACGAACACAATTGGAGGGAATGGTCCGATTGTTTTGAGTACTGACTCAAACTCATTTGTGTATGGGTATTCAAGAAGTCAGTGGGACTTCCTTGAATTGAGGTCGGTGGTTTTTGAGTGGTTTTTGGATGGGAATGAAGAGTGAAAAGAGGAAAAGTAAAAAGGGGTTATTTTTGAGTTTTGGTCAGCATAAAATGTCTTAGGTTAAACTTTAGATCTAGGGATTTTTAGACATTTTTATGAAAATCTAATTCAATAGACGTGATGAGGGGCTGCAGATGAAGAAGCCGAGAAATTTTGGGATCAAAGGAATGCAGGCTGATGACGGTCAGTAGTGACAGATGATGATCCGGTGTCAAAATTTGAGTTTTGAGATGAATTGTTGAAAATGAATATTTTGAGACAGAGGAATAATTTCGAAAAAGAAGTAAAAGAAAAAAATTTTTATTTTCATTTAGACAACAATTATGTCATATAATCATAAAAAATGTCAGGATTTGTTATCTCATATGACATGTGAGCTAAATAATAAATATGTTTAGCAATTTAAAGTACAAGTAAATTGTTTTCGTTAAAAATTTTTTATTTAAATTAAAAAATATATTAGATTTTAAATTGGATCAAATTAAATATTATATCTTTAATTAAAAATTACATCTTTGAATCGAAGATTTAGCCTTAAAACAAATCCATTTACAAAGGTAAAGCATGTCAGCCATTACAAAATGTTTTACTGCAATTTACCATGTTGTGTACGTATGCTCTTCAATTCAATTTAAACCTCAATGATTTAATAAAATAAAGCAAGAGCGTTTTGTATAGTCAGAGCCTTTTGTGACTTTTCTTCTACTTTACCGTGTTGATGGAAAACACAAACATGCAAAAGAAATGCACCAGCCGGGAATCGAACCCGGGTCTGTACCGTGGCAGGGTACTATTCTACCACTAGACCACTGGTGCAAGGTTGACAAAGGGATAGCAAACATTCTAAATTCGTTTTTTTTTATTTAAAATTTAAAGATGGCCGCTGCCGCACATAAGGATCGATCAAATAATGAATTAAATAGCAGTAACGAAGGTCTTTCTTCACAATGAAACAATGTCCAATCAGCTAAATCACAAGAGTAGTGTATGAAGACATCTAAATGCAACAATGCAATGATTAAATGTGGAAAATATGAGGAAGCTAGGAAATTGGAAGAGTCAAATTTAGACAATTAACATAAAGCTTGTTGGTTGTCTTTAGATATAAAGATGATAAAGGGAGGATCAAAACAGAGGAGAAGTAGAGAAATTGTTTTCTCCCTAATAAAATGGCATCATTGGTGACATGCAGACAAGTGGCTGTGATCGGTGCCGGAGCAGCGGGGCTGGTGGCGGCACGTGGGCTCAGGCGGGATGGTGGTAGTCTTTGAAAATTGAAAGGCAAGACCAAGTGGGTGGTACCTGGATTGACACAGAAGAAGTGAACTCTGACCATCTTGGGCTCCACCCAGATTGACCCATAGTCCACTGGAGCCTCCACCAGTCTCTACGGACCAACCTCTCGAGGAAGGTCATGGGATTTCTGGACTACCCGTTCGTGAGCCGACAGGGTGAGTCAAGTGAGCCCAGAAGGTTCCGGATCACAAGGAACTGCTCATGTACTTTGAAGGATTTTGCAAGAGAGTTGGGGATTGAGGAGATGGTGGGGTTTGAAACTGAGGTTGTGAGTGTGGAAGGTCAAGTCTAAAAAGAGAAGTAACCTGGTTGTAGAGGAGATTTTTGATCTGTTGTTGGCATATCTGAAAGTTTAAAAGTTTTTATATAATTTCATTAAAATAAAAAAATTTAAAGACCTGCATACTGTAATCGGATGCTTTTCTATTAAGTCTATAATTTTTATCTATCAATTTATAAATAACTTTATAGTTATTTGAAATAAATTTTGTTTTTCATTTGTAATATTTTGAAATATTTTGGATATGAGATTTTTTTTAATTGAATCTATAAGTTTTGTTGGAATTTCAAAAATTAAATATTTCTTTATTAGATAGGGATGATATTGATTAAATGGATTTTATTGAAAAAACTAACCTTAAACTCTAAATATAAGTTTTTTTTTTAAATTTATAAGATATGAATATTTAGTTATAAAATTTACTTAACATGTATATTAGAAGACTTTTAAAATTGAAACAAAAAAATATAATTAGGTAATTTTGCTTAGAAATAATGTTGAAAAGAGTGCTTATATTTGCGCCTCCATTTACTCTTCACACCTTTTTTTTTTTTAATTATTTTTAAATAAAATTACTTAATACTCTTTTTATTTCAGTTCTAAAAGTTTGCAAATGTACATGTTCAGTAAGTTTTATAACTCTTGAATATGGATATTCAATAAATTTTAAAAAGGTTTTAGGAAAAAAAATTAAATGAAGGAAAAATTAATATTTTGAAGAATTCTCATAATATTGTAAAAAAAAAAAAAGATTTGTTTCAAATAATTATAAACTCATTTATAAATTGATAAACAAAAACTATACATATGGGTCTTTAAAAATTTTTTTCTCTTGATTTTAAAGATCTGAGACAAACTTTAAAAAATTTTTGGATATGTGAATTGGAAACTTTTAGAAATTATTAGGTTTGTAAAATTAAAAGCTTAAAAATGAAAGACATACCTGCTTATTTTCATTCATCTGAGAAGTACATTTCAATTTCAGCTTCAAGGTCAGTGGTGGGAGGCCTTAGTTTGTACATTGTAGTATCCACTTAAAGCTTAATTGCAGACAATATTCTCTAGTTTAGATATTCTAAAATGAATTAGAAAACTGTAAAACAATTGCCTTCCATTTTGGTCCTAACTTCTCACATTCTGTTTCAGGGATTAAAGCCTGGCCAGGGAAATAAATGCATGGCCACAATTACCGTTTTCTCCAACCCTTCCAAGATCAAGTATGTAATTTCTACTTCATCTTCTGATTTTTCTATGTTAAAGGTTGTGCGGCCTACTCTATAAGCTGGAATTTTCATCAATCTTTTACCTCCTCTTCTCCGATTAGTTTCATTTGGTCATCAGTACTTTTTTCAATATCATGCATGTACAAAGTATTATGTACAAATTTATGGTTTTGTAGCGTAACGGGTTAAGTACTTATGTAATGTATACAGATCGCTTGCAGTATGAAATTAGGTACAAATTTATGGTTTTCTCCGTGGACAGATTGTAATTGTGATAGGGAGTTCCTTTAGTGCTATTGGCATATCTAGAGACTTAGCTGGAATTGTAAAGGAAGTTCATATTGCGTCGAGATCAGTTGCCGGTGGAACATAAAAAAAACAACCTGGATATGATAATATGTGGCTTCATTCTATGGTAAAAGAATTCACCCTTTGTAAATGAAGTGGCTGTGATGAGTTTTCTGATCCCCGATGCTTAGAAAATGGGTTCAGTTCCGATGCTTAGAAAATGGGTTCAGTTAGAAGCTAATGTTTATCAAAATAATGGAGATAGAAAGTGCCAATGAAGATGGTAAAATAGTCTTCTAGAATGGCAGGGTCGTCCTAGCTGACACCATTTTACATTGTAATGGCCTAATGGGTATTCATCATTTATCTTGACTTTAGATTGGTTTCAGAACTTATTTTGGCAAAACTATTATATGCTAAATTATGGATTAGAAAACATCAATTGGAAAAAGAATTAAAGAAATAAAGAACCAGTTGTAACTTGCAGTCATTCTCTTTTTGAGGTGTAAGTATCACTTCCCTTTCCTTGAAGCTAATGGCTTAGTGATTGCAGATGACTATCGCGTGGGACCTCTATACAAGCTTGTTTTCCTATCAGCTTTAGCTCCTTGCCTTTCATTTGTTGGGATACCACTCAGGGTTCATTACTGAAACTTTCTAACCCAGTATTTTATTGGATATTCTTTGAATAGATGATGTAAATAGTTTCTGAAAAATTGTTGCCAGGTAATTCCTTTTGTGATGTGTGAATTACAAAACAAGTGGATTGCTGGGATTTTGTCTGGTTGGATTGTACTTCCTTCACCGGAGCAAATGATGGAAGATACTGAGGCATTTTACTCTACGCTCAAGTCTTCTGGCACACCTAAGTGCTATACTCATAACTTGTTTCATTCTCAGGTGACTTTGGTAGCGGATAAAATGACAGTTTATCATGCGGTCTTTTTAAAATGTTGTTTGTTGGTTGCCAACCACTGCCTCATTGATAGAAGTTGATTTACATTTTAGGTCATGCATTCGGGAAAAAATTTTTTGTGATCGCTTAATTAACCGCTAGGACGAGAGAAATTTCTTATTGTCTCTATTGAAGCTGAAATCTCATGTGTCTGATACTGATACTGATACTGATATGTACCTTTGGCACATGATGCAGCCTTGGGTGGATCATTTGCCTTGTTTTAAAATAGGCTGTGATGGTTAAACTGATTTTACAGTTGTAAGGCAATGATGCAGGATGGATAAGGATTCATGACATCCAGAAGGTGATATGACAATCCATATTTAGAGTAGATCAATAATGTAGCTATAAGCTATAACTCTTCCCTGAATATGATGAATCCAACTAGATTACTGCTGCCAGATAAGCTACTAAGAAAGGCAAAGATTGATAGAGATGCTTAGTGGCATACAAACCATGCACATATTTAAATAGCTTGCAATTTATATTTAATTAATGCTTACCTGCACATATTTTAATATCTTTATGTCAAATTTCTTTGGATTATAGTCAAATGCAGTTTGAGTATTACAACTGGATTGCAGCTCAGTATGGATGCCCAGGCTTGGAAGAATGGAGAAAGCTACTGCATGATGCTGTGTCCATTAATAGACTCGCCCGACCAGAGGAGTACCGCCTGGCATGGGATGACCAGCATCTTGTTTTGCAAGCCCATGAAGACTTTAAAAAGAGCAACCAAATATAAAGCTTAATAGTAGACGCTTTCATCAATAACGCATTTGTCAATTCAGATGGGTCTGTTAATTCAGAGGCTGCAGGAACACAAAGGAGCCACAGCCATGATCTACTCAAATTTCTGTTTATCTATTCACTTGTTTTCTATAAGAAGCTCCAATATGCCGAATGTTCTCTATCAATACAAAAGGCAAACTTAATTAAGATGATTTACTGAACAAATAAGACAGCAGCTTTATCAAAAGAAGAGGATTTTATAACCTGGAGCAAAAGGGGGAAGAGAAGAAAAGAAAACAAATGAGCAGGAGCTCCCAAGGTAATGTCTACATCAGTAAAATCCGTTGCAATGTATACGTTGTTTCCAGAGATGGAAAAGAAAAAGCAACTACACAAGCCGGGAATCGAACCCCGGTACTACCATACGGCTAGACCACTAGTGCTCATTTTTAAGAATTTGGCAGGGAGCATGAAAGATAGGCCCTTTGTGGATCGACTGTTGAATAGATAATACTACTACTCGATTTTTTTTTTTTTAATCCCTTCTCTCAGTTTCCATTTTTAACCATCTGCAAAAACATCATTGTCCGTAGTCTATAGTGGTGCTGTCCCTTCTCATTTGCAATGAGAACTTGAGAAGGCATTAAGCAAATTAATAGACTGACCAAGGCAGGGAATGAAAAGACGTAAAATATAAAAGGAGTGGCAATTTGCACAAACAGCTAAAAAGTGGAAAAATTTTTCCCGTATTGTCATGTTTTATGCATAGAAAAGAAGAAAGTGGAAGGAAAAAAAAGGTAAGATACAAAACTAAAAAAAGAATTGTATAGCTGTGCTAGCTTTGCAATTCAATGGTGTTACTGTCAGGTGCGTAAGTTATCTTCCTCTTTTGCTGCTTTTGGTTGATTTTGGGGGTCCATTTTCCAATCAAACCTCAGGCTTAATGCCTTCAGATTTGACATTTGGCTATTTCTGTATTCCTATGTGAACATGAATGCTACCTAAAATTCAAGTGCCCAGGGCCATGGCCCATGGTCAACAATTAAAAGGTAGATGGTAGCACACCATTTTTTGATTATCGATAAACCAAGAATCCTGAAATTAAAAGAAAAGACCTCTTGCAGTGTAATGACATGCTCAAATTTGTTACAAAACTATTGACTTTCTCAGCGTTTCATTTACTCTTAGCATTCATCACTGTGTATAACAAATTTTTTGAATTCAACATTGATAAATATTAAGTTGGAAGATACTAAACGAAGTAAAAACTATTGGAATGGATATGACTTAAGGAATCTGGTAATGTATAAATCTCATTTGAAGGAAGCCATATTTCTGGATGACCTTGTCATGACTTATTCAATGACCACCAAGAGAATACTATCCTAACCGAAGTTCCACACCACCGGCCTTTTTTTCAATGCAAATCAAGGGAACACACTTTTCCTCTGTCGCAATCTGTCGCAATCAATCAAACGTATCTTTGGAATGGTCAATTTTAACCAATACATTATCCACCAGTTAACACCAAAACCACTTCCTTTTGACCCTTAATTGCCTTCTGAGAAAGTACCTTCCCAGATGCAGCGAAGCTTGTTGGGTGTTTAATCACTTGCAACTCATAAAGAAAAAGAAAATAATCAAATTCTAATGAAATTAGGTTATATATATACCTCTAAAGTCTAAATTTAACAATACTAATCTCTACAAAATTGGGGAAGCAATTAATTTTTCATCCCTGTCAAAACTTCCCCACAAATCATTACCCTCCGAAAAACACAACACATTGAACTTCTAAAGGCATTATTGGGTTTTTTTTTTTTTTTTTTCACATTCAATTCAAAGGTGATCTATGAGGCACACCTTTCCGGCGGCTAATGCTCTCAGCCGCAGCAGCCTGTGAGCATCTGCTCCTGCACGAAGCTTGGGGCGTTAAAATGCAGCTGCGTTTCTTCGTCTTGTTCTTCTTCGCGAACTCAGTTGTGACAGTTGAAACAAGTGATAATGGCTTGCAGTTTATTGCACTGTCACCATTGCTAGTGGCAGTTGTGTTTGTTGATCCTCCTGACCAGGTTCTAGGAGAAACAAGGGAGTCCAGGACAGAATCAGGAGTCATTTGATGATCCTCTTCAAGCTCTATGAGGCTGACATCAGTTTTCGTTTTGCAGAACAATGGAAGAGTTTCAGAGGTTGGGTCAAGTTTTTTTCCTCCACGTTTGGCAGTCTCTGAGTGATTAACCTGCATGCACGTGGGCGCAAGCAAATTAAACTGTGAGAACGATGAGAGAAACAGTGACAGTAACAGCAAATTGAACATGTTAAGAAAATCAAAACAGTGAGTATACATATATATATATAGTAGTAATTGACTACCAAAGAAACGATGAACCTTGCAAGAGAGAGAGCAGAAGAGAAATGGGTCTTGAAGGCTGCGATCGCATTTGATGCAGAATTTGCCATAGCCCCTAAAGGGGCGTGACATTGGCCTTTCATTCAAAAACACTACTTTGGCACTGTTTGTTGTGTAGGGCTGTAGAGATGAAAATGATAAGAAGAACTGAGTTCCAAAGAAACAAAAGAAAGATTTCACTGTCTTAATTCAAGCTAGATTACATACTTGAACGAGGGAACAATTGATCAGTTTTTGAGCATCACTCAACCGTATAACATCTTGATAAACATATCTTCTTATCTGTACAATGAAAAAAGAGGATTTTGATTGTAAGAGAGTAAAATAAGGCGGAATTTTATGCTGATTTTTGGCAATTTAGATAAAAGAACCTGTAAGCGACGATGAGGGCGGTGAACAGGTAGGCAGTGAGGGCAGATAGAAATGCAACAATTCAAGCAGAAAATGTTCTTCTCATTTTTCTTTGCAGACTCATGAACCATACAAGGATCAAAGAATTTTTCTTCAAGAAGAATTCCAAGCCAATTAGGAATTGATCTCGCACCAACCTGTAAGGATTTTAAAAAGAAAAACAGAACCCAATAAAGTTTAATCAAACCCCAAGGATTCCATGAAACGATAAAACCAAAAAAGAAAAAAACATTTAGTGTTGCAGAAATTAAGGTTTAAGGTATATCACCATGTTCGATTTTGCTGTTTGTTGAAGAAGCAGTTGAGGATGTCAGGAGTTTATAAAGAATAAGGGGTTAAAAAGTCAAGAGTCGTCAATGAAATGTCATTGAAAGAGAGAGCTAAAAATAGGAAAAGGGTTGGGTGCCTTGTAGTGGTGGTGGGATAGAGATAAGAAGAGTGTAAGAAAAGGGAAACGGCGCCTCTCTCAGTTCCAGCAACAGTAGCGGCCAGGCAGCCACTGACTTGCACTGTTGTTGCCAAATGGGGCCTCGACCTCATTTAAAGCTGAGATTGGGGGGGCTACACTAGTGGTTAGTTGTTGTTGTAAGTATATGATATGCAGATTTTGAATATCAAAAGCAAATCTTTTAGCAGTTTTAGACCAAAACCCTATCATTTTCTTTCTTCCCCTATATCTCTAAGGTCCAAAACATTTCTTCATACTGTGCATGATTTTGTTCTTAGCGTGTTCCACTCACCCTGTTTTTCAACTGGAAGAGAAAAGGTCCCGCGTCTTCATCAAAACCCTCTTGCAAATCCTGATGTAATCTGCAAGTTTTGACATTGCAGCAGATGAACACCGACTACTAGTGAACAAAATTTTGATGATTTCAGTCCAAAATTCTCTAATTTTATCTACTACACAAATGATTTCTTTGTCGTTTTCAATTAAGTTTCAACCTTGGGGTGCTAATATCGTTTTCCATTAACAAAGAGTTTCAAGGGTTTTTTGGCAGGCGAGAAAGACTCGGAAATAGGGAAGGGATGGAAATTACACCACTGTAGTTGTTTCTGGTCGCTACCAACCAGACCAAATTCGGCTATTGTTGACCATTGCTTCCTAACAAAGAAGGATCATTAATTTCGTTGCAAATAACAATATATGAGTTTATATTCAATAGATTTTCTTAATCGATATATAACAAAGAAGGATCAAACATAAAGTAATAATAAATTTAATATAATAGTACTAGTTTAATATATAGCCTTTTCCTAATTAGTTCAATTATCAATCAAAATATTAGCTTAAAAATGCATCAAATCAATCCAAATACAGATCACCAACCCCTGGCTTAGATATGATTACAAAGTGTATCAAAAGTCAAAACTCAACCTATCATATTAGTCCTGTCCTGCCCAATGGGTGACATGATATGGTACAACAACTTTTTCGACTGGCTAGTTGAGGCAAATTCCAATTCCAATTATGCATTTTCGTAGTACTAGTAGTAATTTCTGCTCTTCCTTCCATTAAGCCTTTACCTTGCAATTGAAATACTGGTAAAATTTTATTGGATGATTGATGCTTAGTTCCTTGCTTATCACATGAATTTTTACCTATAATTGGAACTATTTTCTGGCAAAATTTGAAAGGGTTGGAGCAGCATTTACTGCTTTGGCGCTAAGGGATCATAACTTGCACTGTCACATCAAATATCATTATTCACATTTTGGTTTTTAACCTTACCTCTACCACACCCATAGTCCATAGCTGTTCTATTAGGCCGGCGGGGACCAACATTTCCGTAATTAGCACACGTGTTCCAATTACTCAATTTACTCCTTTTTTTTTTTTTTAAATAAATCAGTACTTTTCTATATAACATAACAATTTCCAAAAATTTATATTTTAAAAACTATAAAGTTTAATTAATTTAAAATATTAAATGATTTGTTAATAAAATATTAAAATTTGATAACTTAAAATAAAAAAATTAATTCTAAATGATATGTTCATTAGTACACTTAATATGTATCAATACCCTTACTCTTGTTATGGTATAAAAGTTTTCATAACAGTACTATTAATTTGTTTCCTTTTTAATGAGAAGGTGACTGTTCAATGTTCGTGCTTCACTATTTTTTAGACCAAAATACCTTTCAACTTTCAAGCATTTGATAAACAAGGACTTTCCTAGATTCTGTCCTTTTTAGTTCTAAAATACTATTGTAATGATGTCGTACTCTGTACCAAGTTTTAAGTACTGATTTTTTTTTTTTGGGATAAAAATGTACCTAAAATGATTTTAATCACTTGAAAAATATGAATTAACCACACCTTACATTGGCAAAAAAACAAATTACGGGTGAATGTGATCTTTATATATGCCAAAGTCCAAAGGCCGAAGGGTATTTCTTTACAAAATGGGCTGAATTGAGCTAACATTGCTCTCGGGCCTCTAGAAAATTTTCAATTGTGTGATTCGGATAAGACGCTAGAATAGGCCGAATAGGTTACTGCAACTAGTCGCTCATACAACCGTTGCAGATGATGGTTGGAAGTGGTGTCATTGAGTGTTGATGTTGGTCCAAACTTTTTTTGCATGCTGAATTAATTTGCTTCTCATACTTTTGCCGGCACAAAAATCTTAAGAGTTAATGTGCCGAACAAGTTGTTTGACTAATTTGGAATTAGATCTTCCAAATCTATTCTCATGTGACACCATATAATTGTGGTGCAAAGTTAAAAACCCGAGGAAAAAAACCAGAATTCTTGAATAACAAACAACCAGAGTTATTACTCGCAACATAAAAAATTTTTTCATCAATAAAAGATGTAAATCTATTGATAAATAATAAATACACATATCAAATAAAATTATTGTTGCTATCTGCTCCAATAATGGTTTAATTGAATAATTAAATAAAATAAATAAATTTTTTCATTAATTTAACCGAATAATTAAATAAATTAGTTAGACCTTTTTTTTTTTGTCTCAAGTTGATGGATAACACTAATTTCAAATCTTAAAATGAACTTAATTTTCATATTTTCTAATATTTAATCACATGAAATACATTTTATCTCATGTAATTTAACGTTATTTTTTAACTTTTTTTCTATATCCTTGAAACCCTATCTCTCATCTCTTTCATTAATTATAAATGTTAAAATATTAATAGATACTTATTACTTGATAGTCAAGAATTTTCATTCACTAATAACTCATATCCATTAAATGTATTTATTCTTTAAATAAATTTAATCACTAAATATTTTTCCAACTAATAAAATTTCACCAAAACTCAAACTAATTCTACAATAGAATTTAGGTCAAAATCTAACTAAATTGAGTTTAGATTTTGTGTAATAGAGTGTTTTTGCTTTATGGTCTAGAATTTCAATTTACTAAAAAGTCATATCCATTAAGTATATTTATCTTTTAAATAAACTTAATTCTTATTTACTAAGAACTGATGTCCATTGGAAAAACAATGACATATTCCTTGAACAGACAACAAGAAAAGAAAGAGCTACCATGGAGCAGTTCTGGCGCAGATTATGGAGAGCTAAAATCCCAAACAAAATCAGGGAGAACAGCTGGAGATTAAGTCATGGTCTTCTTCGTGTTAATGTGAATCTGTTTAAAAGGAAGATTAGGCCGCAGAGCCGACTTGGTCGATGTGAAGAAAGGAAGGAAACAGTCACCCATGCAGTAAGAGATTGCTCCAAAGCTCATGAGGTGTGGTATCTTATATGACAAATCTCTCTAATTCATGTATGAGTTAAACATATTTTGATTTTTTTTTTTACTTTATTTGAAGTGAATTTAAATTTTATGTAATGATGTTTGTTTAAATTGTGTCAATCCATTTATAACACAAAAATATTTGTATCTTATGATGATAATTCCGTTTAATTCATATATAGCCACTTGTTTATACATGTTTAGTAAGTTGTATTAATAAATTAATTGATATTATTTAACACACCTAACTTGTTTAAATTCAATAATTTAATTATGTCAAAATAGATTAACTGTATTTAAAATATATTATCTGTATCTGCCAAAATATATATTATTTATATAATAAAATATTTAATCATTTTATAAAAAAATTTTAAGACAATTAATTAATCATGTTGTGGTTATGTCAATCGTTTATCTATCATATCTGTATGTGGAAATGACATAACTACAACCTGCTAACAGTTGAGTTTCAATTTATATTCAGTCATCCACTAACACAGCTTATTAGAACAATCACATGGCATTATTTTGAAGAAAAATTTGTTGGCCTTTCTTTCACAAGAAGAAACCTATCATTTATTTTAAATCCAGTGCCACCTAATTATTTGAAATTTTCAACTTGAAATGAAAATCCAATTATAGCCATGGTGGTTAATATGATTGACCTTGAACTTTCTTTATTAGCATAATCCTTTATAAAACTATATAATTACTAGTTAAAAATTGAAATAAAATCAAAATGAAACATGGCTGTTATTAAGAAACTTGCAAAAACTAGTAGCTGAACAAAGTGACAAACTTTTTGAACTTTTGTTGTTGGGGAAAGGAGTTGAGTTTGGACTTCGAACATGGAACTTGGAAGAAAGTCAGAAACCAAAAGCTAGACAATGCGTGAAACGACATTAAAGGTCGCAGCCCATGCAAACCCGACTTTGCAATTCACGAACGGTCAACAAATGGGTATTTGCCACGCATTCTAGAAAGAGACCAATCTCAATCTGCCTAAGACCTAAAGTGTCAAGTGCCGACGGTTTTCTGCCCAACAAAATCAATCCCGATTGCGGGGAAAAAAAAATTCCTTCGGAAATGGTGAAGCACATTGTATGACGAACATATATCGTGAGAGAAAATTGAGATTATCAATGGTGTTTCCTCAAAATTGGTTGGCTAAATTGCCTTTTTTTAAATTCTCTTTTATCCTTGACCCGCCAAAGATATTTACCAAAAAAAAAAAAAACCTGAAAATGAAACTTGTGTTTCACTCTAGTTTTGCGTAAATCTATTCAAATTAAAAAAAAAAAAAAATTGATTGATGAAAGTTGTTGACATTGGGTTTCTCTCGTTGTCGCGGATTTTGTAAACTCTTTTCACTACATTCTGAAGATCATTGAAGTTTCAGAATTTTCCTTTCTCTGTCTCTCATTTTATAGCCATATTTATTCATTTGATGCTGTAAATTGACCGTAAATGGCCAATGCATCTGGGTTTTTCACACTTTCAGTTCCGAGCCTGAGGAGAAATATTCAGCCTTCAATAGGCATTTCTCGATCTGGGTTTTGCTTCTCTGAAGGAATCTTTAGGAGGATAGTGTGCTCAAGTGGCATTGAAAGTCCAGAGAAGCATGTTTCCTCTTCTCAATCTCGACTACCCAGGTAAATTTCTTCTGCTTTCATTTGATTTCTTGTTTGATTATTGCTTTGATTTAATTCTCTGGCAATTGATTTGTTGGAGTCTAGTAGCCGGTTCATTAAATGAGCTTGGTTTTATGGGTCTTGATTGTGTACCTTTACTTGAGTAAATGTGGATATTTTGTTCAGGGGAGAGGAAATTTTTGGTTTATTATCAGGTAGCGTGAATCATGTGCATTGAACAAAGATAATTCATTTCATTTATAAATTGATGAAAGGGTTTCATGCATGTGCTTTTGGAGCTTATTTTACAGGGGAGTTAACTTAATTAAATTTGAAAGATTAGGATCTCATTTGGTTGTGTTGCTTGCTCTTGGTGGATTGTCATCCTGACTTGAAAAATTAGTGATGAACTGAAATTTCCAGTCCACCTAGTTTATACAAATTAACTCTGTATAGGTGTCTTGAATTTGGTATGAGCAAGACGTTTGGTTTTTTTTTTTTTTTTCCTTCTGTCTTTAAGATGTTTGGCTTCAGTATGCTCTTAGTGGTCCAAGCTGAATAAACAACTAATGAACCTTTGTCTCCATATTAAGAATGGAACCTCCAAATGATCAGCGACTTAGGAGGCTTTGTCTTGCATACCAAGAATAACTTATTGTACTGAGCTTGATACAGAAATAGTCTCGGTTGTTATTCATTCGTGGATATATATGATATAAGAAAATTTTCTTGGGTCATAAGATGAGAATAGAGGAAATCACAACCTATTTGGAGTTTGTGCCATTTGGATAAATACATCTTCATGTGACCCTCGTAGGCCAATATCTAAACATTTTACTTATATCAACAAGCTTGAGATTAATCTGATCATAATTCATTCTTAGTTGCTGATGTTCTATTTTGCCTCTGGGAGGTGATTTTAGTGAATGATAATTCCATATTAGTCAGGGAGACACTTAACAGCGTGAAAGATTGCCAGGTATCAGTAAGCTTTTTGAACGTTGCAGACCTGTATGGTTTTACTACTGATCTGCTAGAAGCATTGGGTTTCTCTTCTGATGGTGATTGAGAAGCTACTGCTGGAGTCTAGGGTTAAGATAAAGTAGAATGTTGTATGTAACCCCCTATGAAACTGAAGTCTTCAAATTACACATGCCAAACAGCTGGGCATGTCAATGGCATTTACTGTATACTTCAAATACAGTCTGGCCTTCAGAGCTGAGATGCGGCCTCACTTTTATTTGTTTATTTACTTTTTTCATATTGAAAGATAATGATTTTCCTGACTTATGATTTACTTTCCTGTTTATACTTAAAAAAAAAAGGCTTGTCAGTAAAGGCTGCAAGTTAGTGGGCTGTGGGTCAGCATTGCCAACTCTTTCGGTTTCCAATGATGATCTTGCAAAAATAGTTGATACATCTGATGAATGGATCTCTGCCCGCACTGGAATACGAAATCGACGGGTTATTTCAGGTCAGAACATACTCTAACGCATACGACCTTTAGCTTGTGTCAACTATTTTGCTGGCATGTCCCGCTTGTGTCAAACTTTCATTAATTTGATAAAAACCTTTAGCTTAACTCTTGTGGAAGGGTTTTCTCCTTGAAGAGTCCCAGCCTAGATATGCTGAGTTAGATTGGTTTTAAGTACAGCTTATTATGCTTGCTATTTCTTGAGATGTTGAACAATAATTTATAGAGGCTTTTCCCTTTATATTAAGGCAGAAATTTGGCCTGGCTTGAGTGTTGCACCACTTTGTCTAAATTGCATTTTGGCTATAGCTGGACTGAAACCTTGTCCATGTAACACAAGATGGAAGCTTACGTCCCTTCTCTTTTTATATATAGCCATCCTTTTTTAGCTGTGGAGGAGATTCCTATTAACAATTGCTCTTACAGGAAAGGAAAGTTTAAGAAACCTAGCTGCTGAAGCAGCAAGGAAAGCTCTTGAAATGGCAGATGTTGATCCTGATGATCTTGACCTAATCTTGATGTGCACATCTACTCCAGAAGATTGTTTTGGTATTGCTCCACAGGTATAGGGGAATAGGTTTGTATTTATTGCAGAATCTAATAAGGAGGCTTTAAAAGATAGCAAATTTCATGATTTATTCCCTGAGCTGCATATAAGTTTTTAAAAACCTAGGAGGTGTAATGATAAAATAAGCCTTCCAAGTATACCAAAAGTGTCATATAAGCCCCTATTCTTTAATCCGAGCCAATTAGGGCCTCAAACTGTCATTTGTTGTCAATTTACCCACAATTTAATGGAAATCAGTCAGGTGCAGTCATGTGACTGATGGCTCCTTTAGCACCTAATGGAAAGGGGACGTGGCTAATGAAAATACCATGTGGCATCTAGTGTGGCACAAAAGAGAAATAAACTGTCATTTGTGTATGTCTTATCAAATACTAGTTTGTTTGTTGTTCTGGGAACCTTTATTTAAAATTGTCAGGTCCAAAGAGAGCTTGGCTGCACAAAAACTACTGTAGCTTATGATATTACAGCTGCATGTAGCGGATTTGTGCTGGGTCTGTTCTCAGCTGCATGCCACATTAGGGGTAATGAATTTGTTTACTTCACAGCAAGGTGGTTTTAATTATGCCTATTAATGTGTTATGGAATCAAACTTTTACCTTTTTGAATTGAAGGAGGTGGGTTGGGTAATGTTTTAGTGATTGCTGATGTTATTTCTTGATTTATTGATTGGACTGATAGAGGGACATGCATTCTCTTTGGGGATGCCGCTGGTGCTGTACTAGTTCAGGTAATACAATAATAACTTATTTTGGTAAGTTCACTCTTTTCTTGATGATGCAATGATGATTTCTTGAACTTGCATCAGCTAATACGGACTGTTTCATACTATTGCTGATCCTAGTTTCTTTGATGAGGATGATTTGCTTTGTCTATATACTTGCATTAATGTCGTTTCTGCAGACCAGAGGTCATAATCATTGGCTGTAAATAGAGAACTGTTTATGATGGAAAAGATCTTTTTTTTTGTCATATATGAAGTTGCAGATGGTTGGATGTAATCTGAAATCTTAGCAAGGCATGATATCTTAGTGCATCATACCCCTTGCTGAGTTGCCTGACTTGCGCATTTACATTCTCTCATATGCTTGTGTGATGGTGGTTTAAATAGGTGCCCTGATAAAAGATGCAGTCCTGCATTTTACATCTTTAATACTTTGTTGCACAATACAATGGAAGTACCTATATGCAGCATGCTCTCATCTTTTACAAAATACAATAGAATTAGATACTTTCTGGGGCCCACTTCCTGCCTAAGATTCTGGGAGTAGATCAATCTGATTGGCAGGTTGCCCTTGCATCCAGATTTCATAGCAATGTGAATGTAATATAGGTTCCTATAATCATCACGCGTAGAACTGGTGGGTTGATGTCATATGTCTTTGCAGAGCACTGTCTTTCATCTTATACTTGGTTTATTAAAAACCAAACTCTTGTAACCCTGATGGAGGATCGAGATATGCTAATTCCAAGATTAAATAATCTAGGGCTTTATATTATATTTTATGGGTTTAATTGTAACTTTTTTTTATATTTAAGATATTCCAGTATAGTTAGTATTTTACTTCTTTGTCAAGTATTAGGGTTTTAGGATTATATTTAATATTTGCATTTTATTAGGGTTTTGGGGTTTAGTTATAAATATATATGTTATTTTATTTCGGTTAGGTTTTGGATGATGAATATTTTGAGATATTGAATATTGAGATTTTCTCCCTCTATTGATTCTTTCTGGTTTTGTCCCCCAAGTTCTTTTGTTTCTTCCAATTTCCTCTGTTTCCACCCTAATTGTGTCTGTCTATTTCTGATTTCCCCTCTAAATTTCTATTTTTCTATCTCTTTCCTCTACTTGTTCTGTCTCAAACCCTGAGGCTAAAACTTCAACCATTAGCAAATTAGCTTTTAGCTTCTTTGTTAAACTATTTTTAGAGTCAATTATGCCAATATTGTATTTGTTATAGCAACTTCTTCATCTGTTGATTTGCCGCAAGTATTACTGGTCTAATGATTTCTTACGAAATAATAGTTACCATGTACCTACTTTTCTTCCGCAATGAAACATGATATCATCTGTGATACAAATGATTATGTAGGCCTGTGATTCTGAAGAGGATGGTTTATTAAGGTTTGACTTGCATAGTGATGGTGAGGGTGGAAGGTTTGTGCTTCTCTTGTTGTGGAAGTAAACAAATACCATGTTACTTCCTCTGAGGAAATTGATTGAGCTGTCACCCTTGTTGCTGACATCTTGGTGCCCCCATAATTGACAGTAAAACCAATGATCCATTGGGTTCTAATGGTTCAGTATTAGATTTCCCTCCAAAAAGGTCCAATTATGCCTGCGTACAGATGAACGGCAAAGAAGTTTTTCGCTTTGCTGTGCGATGTGTGCCACAATCAATTGAGTCTGCCTTGGAAAAAGCCGGTCTCACTGCATCGAGTATTGACTGGTTATTGCTCCATCAGGTATATAATTTAAGATGTACAGAGATAGTATAGCTTTTGTTTTTGTTAATATATGCCCTGCCATTTACTTGGCCTGCTGGCCTAAAACTCCCCAGATTATTGGTGCTTAGATTTGTCCTTAATTACTGCTGTTCTACATTATCATCACTGATGCATTGTTCTTTCATTTTTAAATCTAACTTCAAGCATGCTAGATCTTTAACTATGAGAAAGATCCTTGACAAAAAGTGAATTAGATGGTCATCTGGTAATACTTTAGGTTTTGGGGTGGAAACTTCTTGCGAATAGGAAGAATACAATTCTTGTGAATAGGAAGAATACAATAGCTTCTGGCTTCTGGCTGTTGCCCTTATGCATCAACTACTATTGCAAGTTGTTGACAGCCAGTTGGTGAAAAAAGAACATTAGTGTTTTTTCCGTTAATTTATGCTGTCCATGCCCATCAAAAGTAATGGGTAAAAGCCCTAGCCATCAGAAAGTGGCCAACTGCAGCCTATTCACATATCTTCCAACAATTAAGAGGGGGTAAAAATCTAACAGGGTTTGATTAATGCAGGCAAACCAGAGGATTATTGATGCAGTTGCATCACGTTTAGAATTTCCACAGCAAAAAGTCATATCAAATTTGGAAAATTATGGGAATACGAGTGCTGCATCAATTCCTTTGGCATTGGATGAAGTTGTTCGAAGTGGAAAGTTGAAGCCAGGCCATACAATTGTAACTGCAGATTTTGGTGCAGGTCTAATTTGGGGTTCTGCTGTTATTAGATGGGGATGAAAAATTGCCCTGCTACCAAATTAACCATGTATAAAAGAATAGAAAATTCTTGTGAAGAGTAGCTCTCCAATTCCTACTTCCAGATCCAGAAGCACGTAGATAGTGGGAGTTTGTACTTGCATAATCCTGTCAGCTCCATTCTTTTTGTTCGAAATTTGTTATATTGTAGTTGTGGCACTGCTAATAAACTTTTTATTCTTTTCCATCAAGCCTTTTAACTTATATATTTTCAGTCCTGTCTCACCAGAATGAGCACTGCAATAGTAATCCCTTTTACCTATTTGAGTCAAAAGTGGGCAGAAGTATGTTACAGTTGAGCAAAAGCAGGAGTGTTTCTACAATGCAACATGAACATTGTCTGAGTTCTTTAATCAGGAACAGTACAAAATTTTCTACAAATCATGGTTCAACCTATAATAGACATCAACAAGTTTATCATGCTTGCAAAAACTGAATGATTTATAATGATAAATGATATGGAAATCATCGCATTCTCTCTGCGGCTTTGCAGTGAAGTTAAAAGTTGAAAAGGAAAAAAGAAATGTAGTATATATGGAAAATACCAGTAGTAAATACAGACAACAAATAAAATTGAACTTAGGGTTAGCGTTCTCACATGTTAGCAAGCTTATCTTTGATAGATTGTAGAGTTCCATCTATTGCAGTATCAAATGCATCCTTCTTGGTCCTCAATCCCAGTGAACTACCATGCCTTCTATACGTAACTCTAGGGATCAACTCCAAAATAGATTCCCTCATCCTCCTTACCTCACTCCTTGGTATCCCCATTAACACATCCAAAATCTTTAGCCCTTTAAAAACCACATCTTCCTTTGGTATAAACACCGAGATCTCTGCATAATTCTCCTCTGGCAAATGCCACCCATACTGCATTTTTGCTGACAATTCTTCAAAGAAAACTGGTATACAACCTGCAGTTATTGCATCAAAAGTTGACCTTCTAGTTGGAGTATCCCCTGGAGGCTGCAAACAAAAGGTTGATTGTAGCATAGGCCTCATGTACCTTATAGGATCATGCTCACATATCCCATTCGAACAATCCACGATATGACATATCTTCGAGTATATTCCATTCCTTTCAAGAACGTTAAAGTTGCTGCTGCTGCTGCTGCTGCTGCTGCTGTTGATGCTAGTGTTGCTGTTCTCACACTCAGTCCTTATACTCCTCCTGATATTTGGGGTGGCAGCAATTCCTCCGCCACCAGCAAACAACATTAAAGAAGTCCTTCTGGACCTCTTCACCCGTTGAATCCAAGCCTCAAAGCATGCCATATTCGGAGGATGAAACGACGTAGGATAAGGCACAGCATGCTCCTGCCAAGGCCAAGCTCTGCCCTCGGGAACCAAAGCAGTGACATTGTAAAACTGAGGCAATTCAAGAAATGAAGTACCCCATATAGGAGGATCATTATCCAAAGGCTGTGAGAAATCCCAAGCAGGTCTAGCCATAACCAAAAAATGATCATGGCCCATATGCCGTTTCCATATTCCAGGTTCATCAGATTGCAAAAACTCAAACAATTCCATCCCATGTTGGAAGCTGGAATTTACATCAGGACCGTACAAATACCTTAACGAATCAATGGCAGCATAGTAAGGAAGAAAGATGGCATTCGCAACATTAGGGTCATTTGTAAGACAAGGGTATTCCAGTATTCTTCTATGGAAAATTAGTTCAAGTAACAAAGGGTCAGTACGGTACCAACTACGAGATTTGCTATGGGTTTTTTGTCCTAAGCCATGGTTTGCTAAGTAAGGACAAAAGTCACCAAAAAGTGGGTATTCAGAACAGTTAGTAAGTAGATCAAGATTGAATCTAGATGGGAGGTTCCTGATATGGATCCAGCGGTTGCTGCAGTCTTCTGTAGTTGCTGCGTTTGATGTTGATTCAGTACTCAGGATTTGTTGGGAAGATGCTGAATTGATAATCAATAGAAGGAAAAAATGGGTTGTGATGGAGAAGAAGATTGTGGTGATTTGGGTCTTGTAGGCCATGGGAAACAAGATGTAGAAAGATTGAAAGTCTAAGAATAAATTTGTGTGTAGCTAAACATGATTCTTTTTTTTGGGGATGGGTTGTATTTTCTTTTTCATCTCTGTATTTTACACCTATTCTTTTTGATAAAAACTCTGTTTTGATACTCGGCTTTTTTGCTGTGGGAAGAAGAAAGCTTCAGTTTCCAAATCTGAAAATGAAAAATTAAAGAGTTTTTAACAAAAGATGGTAGTAATTTTTTATTTTTTCTTATTTTTACAATTGTATCTTATTTCTTTGACCGAGCATTGTCGGTGGAAAGGGACAACTGCCACTCTGCCAGCATCGGGTCGTCAATCTCCCAACCAATGCGGCGGCGTTTTCTGGTCTTCAGTGGGTTTTTTGCCTGGTTTTTTGTTTTTTCCTAAACCTTTGTCACATGCTGAGCGGCTTTTTCTTCTTTTTTTCCCCTCAAGTGACAGTTGTTTCTTGATTTGATAGGATTATTTTAAAGCACAAATATTTAAAGCACAGGGTGTCTAATTAATTACTATAACAACTTATAAGTTGTACAAATATTTAATTTTAATAATTAATATTTAAATTTTAAGAGTTTCGAACATAAAAAAAAAATCTCGGTCCCCAAAGGGCTGACATCAAGATTACAAAATGGCAAATAAGAATTTCATTTGGCCTAAATTAGGAAGCCAAATAGGCTTGAAGAACGAGAAACATTAACCTGAAAACCCTCATCATTGACTGATGTCCCTTTTGCTTAACTCCTGCTATGATAAGAATTGATAAAGCATTCAAATTATAAAATGAAAGGTGCATTACATTCTAATGTTTTAGTAAAAGAAAATTCTTTGATAGGGACAATGGTGGACTTAATGCTAAAAAAAAAAAAAAGGAGAAGAGTCTTGGCATTGTTGCTGGAGATGAAATCTATGGTGAATGGTTTTTTGGTGGGATGTTTCTCACTTTCTTGGCTTTGTTGTAGAAAGGAGAAAGAAAGAACAGAGCAGTGTGGGGTTTTGGAGGGAAAAAGGCAGTTATTGCTGTTTATACTTTGGTGGGTTTTGAATTGTATCAGGTATGGGCCTGCAGTTGTTTCAACTCACATAAATAGAGTGGGCTTGTGGGTGGGAGATCAACAAGGAAATTCTTTACCTGTCAACTCTGGATGTCATGATTCTGTTCTTAGGCTCAGAGGTACAAAGCCCACTGAAGAAACGTAACTGTCATCGATTATAAACAAACACTTGATCAAGGGCCTTGGACCAATTTTCAGCAGCCCACTTTCGTCTTTAGGAACCCTTCATCATGGGTTCATCCAGAGAAAAAACAATGACAAGCTTTGCTTGTCAATGGGCTAACCGGTAGTCATCTATAGACTGTACTGTAGCAGTCTTTCAGGATTGCAGTGATTGTCGGGAAATTTAATATATTCCTAGGTTGTGTTACTTGTGTATCCCTAAAAAGACATCTAGCAAATTAAAAAGATTTACTTACAATTTGATATTCGGAGATGGGAAAACAAAGGAGTACTTCACCTGTTGAGTGAAACATTTGGTCTTATTTGGATCTTTGAATAAAATAAACACTAATAACAAATTTTGTTCGTTGCTAAATCTAAATCTCTCTTAGCAAAAAATTCAAGGGATTTGTTGAATGAAATACTACCAATTCTGCAACAGCTTTTCCTCAAAATTACATGCAGCTCAAGCCTTGAAGGTTGGACGAGGGGGACTGGCTATCAAAATCAGTATATATGCACAACAAAACAGACCTTGATATCAATGGAAGATTTCTAGTATTCTTTTTTAAATATTTGCTATAGATACAGAGAAAGATTAATGTTGAGCACCAAACCAACATTATCAAGACTTTGTCTATATTTGCTCAATGTCCCCTGTTGGACCATGCGCATTTATTTGTTCTATAAATAAACAGGACAAAACCAGGAAGCCATAAGCAGAATTTAATTGTCTTTTTTCTAGTTATTGTAGGTATTTGTTTGATGTTATGATCAGCAGTGAAAGGAAACAAAGAGTAGACATATATAGTAATGATACTTGACTTAATAATTAATCACACAGGGTTTCAGGTAACTCAAAATAATTGTTGCTAGTGGACTAGCTAGGTTCGAGCTAAATTATTTAATACATATTAAATTGTTAATCCTAAGGTATAATTGGGTCAATGCAGAATTATTAATTCCACTTGATTTTTGTCAGTGAAGTTCTAACTTCATCCTAAACAATCATTTTGAAAGTACATAATCTAGAACGAAGGGTGAATTTTATTTATTAGCAGAAACAGAAATTCTTATCCGCTACTAATCGCAATCTTCATTTCCTACTCGGCCGGAGAGGCTCTCCTGCCGCCTTCATGAAGCTAGCCGGGTGGTGGCGGGAAAGAAAAAAAAACAAAATGAGAAAAAAAATTGAACTAACCAATCATTTTACTACCAAAAAATTTCTCATAGAAAAAATGTTGATTCAATCTGGCATCATCTCCGTTTTGAGATTAAATCATCTTATATAAAAAGAATAATCTTTCTTGCAATTCAATTCTACTTTTAAATGCACACTAAACATGAGGTAGGATGATTATCATTCTATCTTATCTGTATCTCATGCATCAAACCACCCTTAAAACTTAATAAAAATTAATATTTGTGTCCTAACGATCTTTTCCTTCTTTGGCTGAAATATCAATGGCTATTTTACTAGTCACTTTCGTAACTGATATTTTTGTCTGTGCATGCATGTAGCCCCGATGGGGACCATAACTTTTATATTTACATCTAAGGGTCCACAGAATTCCCATGTCACCTTCTTCCTTTTCCTTTGTCATCAATGTCGTTTGAATTTATGTATCAATGTATAAATCAGAACTTCCATGGTCTTAAGGATTGCCTTTTATGACAAGTTGAAGGGTAGATGAAAAGAAAAGTCCTTTCACAGCTGCTCATTAGGCATGTGACAGCAAAGTTAGTTCCAATTCATGAAAAGCTTAGAATACATTTATTTCAATGAATTAGTTATCATCTCAATAATGTGCAGCGAGGCATCTGCAGGGTCAACTTGGCTTTGTTCACTGGAGCTTAGCTCTTGTTCTCACTTACATAATAATTTTGCTTAAGAAATTGAATCTTTGAACTTGGTAGGTTGTTAGAGTCTGTCTCGATAAATTTGAAAGAAAATCCAGACTCCAGACAGTAGTTATTTATTCGTTCCTTTTAATAAGTTATCCTTAGGCCAAATTGGTCATCTTCTTGTACGTGCACACACATTCACTGTTGCAATTAGTTTTGCCGATAGAGGAAGTTAATCAGAAACTGTCTTGTTTTCTCTTTTATTAAGTTATCACTTCAAACCAAGTCTTGATCTTGTCTTCTCTCTCTCTCTCTCTTCATTGATCATGCGCCACACATGTACGAGCACGAACACACGTGAATCAAACACAACTTGCCATATTCGAAAATTGAGTGATAGAGAACTAAAGCATTTCTAGAGTTGTTAGACTAACTAGCTTTTCCTTTCTCCATGAATTGTATATAAACTAATAGTAATAACTAAAAGAGCTAGTTAAATGAAAATATTATTAGGATCTGTGAGTTACTTTTGACCCAGGCACCGATCAGATGATGAGTATAGAAATTGAAAAAAAAAAGTTAAGGCTAAATGAAATGAATAATACACCCAATTGTCAGCTTGACTAATAAATTGTGTGAAAGTTCTTGAATGATTAAATTATTATTCACTTTGGATAACGATGGCCAATATGTTTATTTCTAGGCACGCCTGTTCGAACAATCTTTTAGATGGAAACAACATTGCTGCACAAAATTACAGAATAGTTTATATATTATAAGTTGCGGAATGTGGTAGTTAATGGACTCCAATTTAACAATTAAACTATCCTGAACGTGAAGCTCATGCTATTCTTAATCTGTTTTTAAATCCCAAATCAAGCAACTTGATTCCTTTTTAACTAGTTTAATTGATTGATCCTGCCCTTTCCCTGAGATCGTCCAATATTGCTTCTTGAGAAAGATTAATTAGAGCAAGTTTCATTAGTGCTTTTGAACCAGTTTAGACAATAATCGATTTTGGTCACATGTGCTTATGACAAACTACTAAAAACTACGTGGCCGACAGCATGGTGTTCGCATAATTAATTGAAATTTGTTTGATAGCAAAGCTAGGAACTAGCTGTCAATTTTCATTATATTATCTTTCGTGCAACTACACATTAAACTGATGCTGGTGGTGACAATTCGAAAGGACACATAAATAAAAGGAAATGTCTTTAGGGTTCATCTTGGAACTGAACTGATGCTGCTCATAAATGTATAATTAGGTTGGAACTAACTATAATGATAGGGGGACCTTTTTGTTTCCCTTGTCGTTTTTGACATTGGCGCCCAAGGGTTTGGCCAAGGACAATAACGAGCTTGCTGGACCACCCACCTAGAGACAAAACCATGGCCGATGGTGTTGGTCCAATCGCACTTTTCCTCTTTGTAAATTGTTTGATTAGTTTTGCAATGTTTTCATTTCAAACAGTGCGATTTGGTATTAGTCTTTCAGATGTTGAAATGTATTGTCAGACGTGTGAATGATTGGCCATGTAAGATTTCTGGTTAAATTAAATAACAATGCATAGGAAAGGAAACACCATGTTTTTATGATATACAGATCTTAACGATCAATCTTAAACAAAACATTAGTTCAATCTGTTAGGGAAACAATTACAAGAAATTTCTTATTAATTACTTTCCATTGTATATATGATATTTGAAATGAAAATAATAATTTTTTATATTTAAAATTTTCAAAATTTAAATTTTAATCACGAGCTCAATATTTTTAAAATTAAAAATCATGAAAACTATATATAATTATTACATTGATGGTACAATTGTCGTTTTGTTTCATGGTAACACATCATATGAAATTTTCTAGACTTTTTTTAAGATCACCGTTTTAAGGAGAGTCAGATTAAAACCAATTCTAAAGGGTTTAGGAAAAACTATATGAAGATTGACTTAGGGTTTCGATGCAATTTCAAGTAAGGGATGGAATTTTCAGGAATGAAGAGAAAGAGCATGAAGAAAGGAAATGAAATGGAAGGAAAAGAATCTGAAAAAGCAACAAAATTTCGTTGAAAAGTTGTGAGACGTGAAAAAGAAAAGTCAGTGCTTTGAATTTGCGACTCAATATT